AACGGAATTTGGTAATTTGCATATTTCTTTGAAATAAAAGGATATTTTGCCAAAAAAACCATCCAGTAGTTTTTGTCATGCCCTAGCCTATCTACTGTAAAAATATGAGCGAAATCGAATTTTTGACCTTAACCGAGTGATTTTCCATATTTTTTTATGGACAGGGACTCTTAAGAACTGGGAGGGGTAAGATTTAATAAGAGCTTATTTTCAGGCAGCTATCAATAGGTTTAGAGAAATTTATTGAGTGCCAGGTAGAGTTTAAACTCTCAAATACCCCAGGACATTTTCTTGACTCATCTCTCTGCAAAAACTTTAAAAAATATATCATAATTTCCCCAACCCTGGCTAGTCATACAACCCATTCTTTCTGCAGGGTTGCAGATATTTTCCACAGTCTGAGGTTTCATCACTATCTTTGTATGCTTCACTTGCATCTTGCAGCCAATTTTCATCATGGTCTTGTGGAGATATTTTGCTAGGACTCAGGCTGATCAGTGGATAAGGGTTCATAAATCTTTCCTCAGTTCTGTAGAACAAAACCTGCATTTAAAGCAGATTTGAGAGCAAGCCACATCAGCCTTAGCTGGTTTTCATGCAGGTCCTCTATCCTGGTCGAATTTGAATGTGGAGATGTTGGTTTTTATGGAGGGAGGAAAACCTGGGAACCTGGAGAAAAACTCTTGCAGTAAGGCAAGATCTAATGACAAACTCAACCACATATGGCACCGGGCCAGAATCACAGCTGGGCCACATTGGCGGGAGGTTAGTGCTCCAACCACTGTGCCATCCCTGCGCCCCAGAAGTCACTAGTATGGGTTTTCTGTGGGTATCTGCTTATAATACTGTGGTAGTACATGTATAGGTGTCACTGTATTCACACTATATCAATAATAAAACTGGTTGATCAACAGCGAGATGAAAGTACAGAATTTCAAATTAGCATTCACTGTAACGTGAAAAACCTTTGATTTACTTACCAGCCAGCCCCATCCTGAACCTTGAACAGCTATTGTTGCTGTGTTGAACCTTTCTTTAAAGCTCTCAAATGAACCAAAGTCTTTCTTGATAGCTTCCATCAGGGCACCTGCATTAGACCAGGATTTGTATTTAAACCTCAAAGAAGTCAACAAGGCACAGCTAAGTTTACTATACTCAGAAACGTTGGTTAGTAGTTTCATTGTTTTTAGTAGATGATATACGGGGTTCATAGTTAGTAAAAAATCTAACAATTACTTTTAATTGGATATTTTAAACCACAAAGGAAGAAAGAGTTCCCCTTATGAGGATAATTGATGAGGGACTGTAGCCGAAATGTAGCTGTTAAACATCAACAACAAGAGAACAGATCAGACTTGCACTACATCACAACAAGTGTCTTCTAATTAATAATTAACAATAGCCCTTTTGCAGTTAACTTTTCTTAGTTGCATTTCAATGTAATCTTATGTGATGTGAAACTACAAAATTGCCTGAAATTGCCTCACATGCATTTTACAAAGGTCTGTTGGTTATTGGATTCGAAAAATATTGATCATCCTCAAATATTACCATAAGCAAAGCGGTTAACGTCAATTATAACACAATGGCAGCTAAAATAATTCCATAATACCTGTCGGTTCTCCGCCACCATTAGGAGAAAGATTTGTCCAAAATATTCCATGGTTGATATGACCTCCGCCATTAAACTTCAGGGCTGGCTGCAGAGCTATCATGGCACTTGTATCACCTGGCATACAGAATCAGCAGTACTAAGTACAACTATCATACAGTCCATACAGTAGAAGTTCAGTTCAATGAGTTACCAACGATGATTTATTTCAAGGAGGTGTTGTGGCCAGGCAAATGTTTTTTTGGTGTTTTGTAAAAAAATTCTGGAATAAGGAGACTTCAAATCTGGAAGTACCTTGCTCAGGTAATCTGGTGTTAATTGAGTGAAAATTTCAAAAACACATTACATCAATCGAGTCAATAGTTTATTTATCCAAAGAATACCTAGGAGCTAGTAGACAAGTTTGAGGTCTTATGTGACATCTAGTCAAGAAAGAGATAGGTGAACATAAAACTAAAGAAGACAAGTTTGTAAAACACTCACATGAATAAATAAAACAATATCTGTACTATATTAGAAATAACAAGTATTCCTCTTTTTTTCTAAAAATAACAAAATAATTTTGATTTGTAATGTAATCAAGAGGGTTCAGTACTACTCCTGCTCTACCTCAGAATCATTCTCTAGGGGAGTGAAGGATAGTCCCATTTAGCAGCTATGTAAGTATGTGCCACTGAATAGGGTAAGGATTTTTAGGTATGGTTTTTATCCTCTTAGTTCTTTCCAGTATTGTGATTCTGTTGTGATCCTATCAAATAAAACTGTGCATAAAATGCCCAGCTAAACAAAATATGTGGTCCTGATTGATTAAAACTGTCATTTTCCACATTTTGGGTCTTCAGTTTTGTTTTCTAATTCTTTAAATACCTATCACGACATAAACCTATTCTTACAGGAGAAGGTCACTCCAAAAAGCTTACTGTTTTGTCTCCACTTATGGCAAGTAAACATTCAGCTTTCCCAATCACCGAAGTTTTAGCCTCTAAAGTGCCTGCTATCCTGAAGAAATTCATCTCGAAAGAAGCCTTAAAATTTGACTTTGGATGCCACCATTTTGAAACTGAACTTGGCAGCCAGGCCGTGTTTATGTGACATCATTCCGTCCAACTCGAAATTGGCAGGAACGAGAGAAACGTGCAACTGACTTGGCATCCTTCAAAAGGTTAGCAAAATGTATTTTTTCCAACCAATAATTATCCACTTTGCTATCTTCACTGCTATCATTTTTGGGGTTTGGAGCATGTTTGGCTTGAAATAATACAGCTCAAGAGCAGCCATAACCTGGNCTCTAAAGTGCCTGCTATCCTGAAGAAATTCATCTCGAAAGAAGCCTTAAAATTTGATTTTGGATGCCACCATTTTGAAACTGAACTTGGCAGCCAGGCCGTGTTTATGTGACATCATTCCGTCCGACTCGAAATTGGCAGGAACAAGAAAAACGTGCAACTGACTTGGCATCCTTCACAAGGTCAGCAAAATGTATTTTTTCCAACCAATAATTATCCACTTTGCTATCTTCACTGCTATCATTTTTGGGGTTTGGAGCATGTTCGGCTTGAAATAATACAGCTCAACAGCAGCCATAACCTGGAGTGGTAGTTAAAAGGCTTAATTATCAGAAGCCATTGGCAAAATCCCTTGGATGGAATGACACCATGAAAATGCAGCCTGGCTGCTGAGTACTGTTCAAAATGGTGGCAATGATGTCAAATTTTGGGCCTATTTGGAGGTAAATTTCATAAGAAAAACCTACACTTTGGATGCCGAAACTTTGGTTAGTGGCTAAACTCGGTGCAAGGTTTTTATTAGCGCTGACAAAGAAAAAATACGTCTATTGGAGTGACCTTCCCATTTAATTGATGGAAGTACCCCCCACCCCAGCTACCCTCCTACCACTCCCAACATGCACCCACTTAATTCAAAGACTTCAAAGACAGCCATTATGGAAAAAAAGATCAACAAAGTTTGTGAATACAGTTATCAGTCAAATGTACTAGCAGTAAGTCCAGACAAACACCACTGATACATTATTTAACTTAATACCATAAAAAACAAGCAAGCCACAATATGAACATGTGCAAAATCGCTTTTTGTTCGATGTGAAGCAGGCCTTTCGTTGATAAACTTTGATTCCCTGAAACCTCTGGCCCAAGAAGAAAATATGTGTATATAATGTATATATAAAATGTATATATGAATATTTATTTAATAATCAGATGTCAGCTAACCTTTTGCTTGAGCCTCGGCAAACTTCTCCTCGGCAACATTCAAATTGTTCACATAGGTAGCATGGTGTTTTTGGTGATGAATTTGCATGATTTCCGCGCTGATTGTGGGCTCCAGAGCATTATAATCGTACGGTAAATCTGGAAGAGTGTGTTTAGCTCTAGTCACTCCTGCAACAACGACAGGAAATAACTTCTTCAACGAACAAAAGCTTTCGCAACCACGGGCAAGCATTTTCTCAAAACATGGATGGGATCCTCTTCCAACGTGCGGCGAGGAAGAGGACTGGGTCCCGGGGTTAACCCGTTAGTTCTGGACCTATAAATTTTACAATATTACCTACGCTTTACCTACGCTTCATGTGGTATAGATATGGCAGTGATTATGCGAAAAGTTTAACTGCAGCCTGACTTACCTAAAGTTATTAAAACAGTGGAAAGCAAAAAGGTACAAAATTGCACCATCCACGTTATACCGACCCGTCTCCCACTTGGGTTGGTCTTTTGTCCATTCACCATAGGTAGTTCCCAGTTTCCGTCGGTACATTTCCAGAATGTGAAACTAAAATGGCGGGAGTTGAAGGGCTTTCCCTGGCGCAGGTTGAAAAGGTACATTATTTAGGCGATTTTTAGCTAAAGACGTAGATAATTCAAGCTCATAAACATCTGATTAACTCCCTTTAGTACAAAACAGATGGCTTTCTAGTCATCGAAGGATTCTTCACCCTCGATGAAGTGGAAGAAATGAGAAATGCAATGCATGACATTGTGGAAGACATGAATTTGGACGATCACCCAAGAAGCATCTTCACTACCGGTGACAACCAGACGAAGGTAAGAGCCTTTTGTAAAAGCAACTGAATAATAGAGAGATATTTTACCTCAACCGTTTAGTGAATTACTGGTAAGGTTTGCTCGCATGCAACTAGCCTGCGAACGCAGACGTATTTCCGGCTGTCACTTGGTTCCGCTGAAAAATAACGTCTGCGAACCCGAGCCAGAAAACGATTTCTGTGACGTAGGAATTCAAAGCCAATCACAGTTTAGCTCAACCCCAGAACTACTGCGCGAGGTATTCGCTGCGAGGAGCACTCAAGTTTCATTCTATCATGGAATCTGGTTGGCCAAGGAGAAACAAAAGTCATTACGTCACAGAAATCGTTTCCTGGCTCGGGTTCGCAGACATTATTTTTCGGCAGAACCAAGTGACAGCCGGAAATACGTCTGCATTTGCAGGCTAGCATGCAACCTGAAGCATGGATCAACTTCTACTAAGCGTATTATGCCATTCACCAGGAAAGACTAATTGCAGTAGATCAGAAATGCTTTAATGCGCGGTTTTCTTCATCTTTTCAGCTTGATCGTGACGTAACAGCCCACAAGACCTGTCATTTTGTCTTTTGCATGTTGTTATGGATAAAAGTCAAAAAGTCTTAATTTTGCAATTGAATGGTTAGACAGCTTATGACTATAGAATCTGTAAGTACGTACCCCGGAATATCTAATTGTTGAGAAATCCAAATTATTGCTGATTAAAACACTTGGTCCAATTTGATCATTACTTCTCCCATGCAATTTTCAATCCTGAAAATAACATTCTATATCATAGCATTTGACGTGCCAACTTTCACAATTCTACATTCAGTGAAAAGGCCATCCCCTTCTTTTCTCTGTTTAGCATCGTCCGACCGACTCAAATTTTCGGCATAGTTTTTTTTTAAAAAAAGCAATGACTTAGTTAAACCATTTTTCACTTTCATTGAATACTTTTAATCTGAAAAATGAGCATAGTAACAGTATAGAGAAAAACAGGAACAAAAACAGGAGCATTTTTTTTTACAGTATATTGCTAAATTTTGCAATAACATCAACCAACTTTTCCGCCATATTGATTTCGGGGTTCATATCTTGTTGTTTCCAGGCTGCACAGCAATGATGCTAGGGTACCAGACCTCCTATTTAGAGACTTCTTCTTTTTTTTTTGTTTTTTGTTTTTGTTTTGTTTTGTTTTGTTTTTTTTCTGACTGACCAACCCAATATCAGGAAACGCATTCAACATGAAGCAAAAAAAGGGGATGCCTAAGGTCCAAACACATTTGTATTTTTTTGTCATTATTGTTAAATTATATGATGGCTACACACTATTGCAGAAGTAGAATCTTGTTCTACTTCTGCAATAATGCAGTCTAAACTCTTGAAAGTCTTCAGATATATAGTTGATGTGTAATTTGCATTGTAGTTTAAATTTCTTTTTTTGGTTTGTAATTTAAGAAACTGGTTTTGAATTTTGCTAAGTTAAACTTCTTGTTGTGACTGGACATTCAAGATAGTGACAGTAACTTGCAGAGAGCTGATTGATAGTAGCAAATCACCAGTGGAACATTACCATAAATGAGTTCTAATCACACTGCTCATAATTACATTCTTATAGCTTAGAGATGACTATTTTATGACAAGTGGAGACAAAATTAGATATTTCTTTGAAGAAGGAGCTTTCAATGATAAAGGTAAGATCACCAACAGTTCCATGTATTGTGGCGTTATAATACTGGTAATATCTGTGTGTCTTTGAGTGTCCACACAGAGCAGGGTTGTTCCCAGACAAAACTCATGATCACCATTCCCATGAACAAACTGGTTTAATTCTGTGATGTTGACTTAGCAAGTTACACACCTTCAATTCTTCTTAACATTTACAGCTTGTGATGAATGTTTCCCTCTCTCACATACCTGTATATGCTCACACTCCATGCAGTTCTAGAATTTTTTCTACATTGACTGAAACCATAACCAAAAATGTTCTGAAATGGATTTTCACATCTTTACTTTGTTTATTTTCGTAGGTGAACTTATCGTGAAAAAACATAATGCCATCAACAAAGTTGGTCATGGTAAGATTATTTTAGCAATGTTAAACATGTGCCATCTGATTTGATTTTCCATTTATTTAGCAATAATTTGTAGTGCTTGTCTCCAGAAAACTGACCTCATATAGCCTTTAACACTCATAAATCTCACTTTCAGAACTCACCTTTCCTTCCCAAAGAACCCTCCAACAGACTAGCGTTCCATTCAGGGGGTAGCAATACTACTTGTTACTTCATACTAAGGATTAGCCGAGCAGTATGGATCACCAACACAGTCTGCCTTTTAGCTCATTTTCTAAGGTTATTCTTTTACAAGATGCTTATAAATTGAAATTCTGTATTCCTCAAAAATGTGGTTTCCTTTTTCCTATCATCAGCTGATATTATTTTAAATCATTTTCCCCCTATTTCTTCTCCCCCTCCCATTTTTCCTTTCTAAATTTTCATTTATTTACTTAATATTAATTTTATTTTATTGTTTGTTTACTTAGTCGTTTGTTTATTGATTGCTTATCAGCACTTCACGCTTTAAATCCAGTGTTTAAAAAAGTCACATTCAACAAGAGAATAGAGGTAACTAAAGAATGGGTCATTTTAATTTGTAAATTTTAATTTCTCTTTAACAACTGCCTTGCGAAGTGGAGGTTGGGTGCCCGAGGCATCCAGGAGCTTCCACTATTGGCAGCAGGCTCCTAGATGGAGAGTGCTGAGTCCCATGGCTGGTAAATCCTGGCAACTTAGCCATGAGCCCCCACGCGGATGGGAGAAAGCGGGCACCCATCACACTGATAAAACAGTGGAAAGAGAAGGGAGGGACGAGGGGAGGGGAAACAACCCCTATGCGGAGTCCCTGCGCTTGAGACTCAGACGCTCACGGAAAAATGCTGACCATGTTAAACTACTTGAACTCCTTGTGGCACAAGAACACATGGAATCCTGGCCAATGCACAGATCTAAATATCACTGACCGCAAAGGCAAGACTTGCACTCCGCTTTGTTAACTATTAGTGCATTTAACTGCATTGAAAGTGAATGCTGTCAATTTGATTGAGTGATATTTACCTATTTTATCCTGTTGTGTAATCAGTGAGTTTATCTTTGTGTCAGGCTATCGTCAAGTCAATTGGATTTAAACATCCAGTTGTCCCACAGAGTATGTATATTTTTAAGGTAAGTATCTCGGGACTTTACTTAGTCTATAGGTGTAACATATGTATGTAAATGATTAATATAAAACTGTTATTTATAATAATTACTGTTTTATATATTATTGTTCAATTATTGAACTGTAGGAGACAGACTCTGTGGGAGACAGACTTGTAGACTCTATTGCCATCTAATACTTGGATGTTGATTTCTTTATGTTTCCTCAGAATCACTATTATCAAAGCAGTCTTCTTTGTCTGAATAATTCTTTACCATTGTAATTCGCCATTTTTAAGAAGATGTGCTCTTTATAATTGTGTGTTTTCCACAATAAGACTTTTTATTATAAATTATTGTTTGGCGATTGCAAAACAATCTGAGGACATGAACAGGTTTGTTATCCATCAGAATTTTCAGGCCGTTGTGTTATTTACCAATTGAAACTTTTTGTTACTTATTTCATTTCTTCTAATAAATTACTTTAAATTTTCTTTTTGTTTGATTGAATTTCTCAGCAACCAGGAATTGGTGGAGAAGGTAGGAACTGACTTTCTTGCTCATTAACAACTAGATTTTGAGTTCAAGATTTCTATGAGATGATAGAACTTCATGTTTTATCAAAATTGTGTACAGATTAAATTGTTGTTTGAACCTTGCAGCTGTTTATATGAGCTCAGCAGTTCACTGAACAATTTTGATGTTTTAAAGTCTCATAACGGTCAATTTCCTTTTTTTTTAGAGTTTAAGGTAATTGAATCTTCCAGTAATATTTCAGATTACAGTTTCCTCTAAAACATCAGAAAAACAACAAAACATCGCCATTCTACAGACAACCCCTCAGGCACCACACACTTATGGATAGCCTGACCAATCAGATTGTTCCATCTTCATTAGTATATTGGTAGAAGTTTAGTCGTTAATATTAGGTAGATATTAAAATGCCAGCTTTCAATGAAAGCAGCTGCTGCAGCAGTTTTTTAGTCTTAAACACAGATTGAAACCTCACAATAAGCTGTACATCAAATAATGTTAATTAAATAGAGAAAGTCAGTTTTTAATTTCATGGTCAAGATTCTTACTATAACCACCATACTTCTGACCAGTGATTTCATGCTACAGAACCCAAAGTATACGGATGAGATACCTACTTCGATCTACTGGATAATCATTGGAACATAGCCAATGATATTGCATGCCAGGGTGAATTTTGAACTCAGTGGTAAGACAAGGATTAACATAGTCCAGCTTTAAGGTATTTTCCTTTTTCTTTGATATATTTCTTTTAACAGTCTTTCCTCATCGAGACTCCACCTTTCTGTATACGGAGCCACCCAGTGCCTTGGGTTTATGGATACCGCTGGAAGATTGCACTCTGGAAAATGGCTGCCTACAGTTTGTTCCCAAATCTCATAATGGTGAGAGTGATTTCAGGCGATTTCTCAACTTAATCCCTAAATTAAACAGACAGCACGCTCAATATCAGCACACTCTCACACCTTCATAGTGATTCTCAAGCCTGCCAGTTGAGAACTTATATCATACCTCTGGGGCAATTTCTATTGCTTACTTGGAAAACGTTGAGCTATAGACTACAGCCTTAACTGACCCAATTGTCAACTCCAACCAGTCCAAGGAAAGAAAAGTGCAGGTAAGCTGGTTATATGTGCGTGGAGACCTTGGACCTGAGAATCTTAAGAACCTCTTTCCAAATCTTCAGAACATGCTTAGAAGTCACATGCTCAGATATCATGTCTAATCATCCTCAAAAATCCTGGGACATACAGGTTAAAAATCTCATGCCTACAGTAAAATGAATCAGAAAAATTTGGCAAATATACAGCCCAGAATTTGTTTTTGACGGAGAGGGAAGTTTGTTAAGGAATCACTTAATTGTGCAGTATCACTTTGAGCATGTGCCTACTTAAAGGGGGCAAAACTTTTATATCCTTGTGTCACTTGCAATTTTTAAGTAAAAAATGTCTTTTGCATTATTTTGTCAGATGCATTAAAGCGTCGTTTTATATGTAACCCTGAGCCTGACAGTACCCCAACCGTTTTTAAAGGACCTAAAGAAGAATTTGATGACAAGGACTTCATTCCACAGTTTACAAAAAAAGGTTAGTCATTGACACAATACTAATGTAATATGTAGAAAGCAAGCAGTCCATGCAGACTTATTTTTGAGCAAGAAGACAAAGACCTAAGTAAGCAATTTCTGTCAGATATATTTATCATCCCAGAAAGGGACACTATCACAATGATTTTGCTGCACTTTTGGTCAAAGCAGTGCTTAAATTTTAATGCCGCACAGTTTGCTGCACATTTCTCTAACCAGATGTAGCAGCCTGTGATGGACTAGTATCCCATCCTGAGCTGAAGCAATACTTCTACTTAGTTCTTTCATGCTATAGAAATTGGTTACAAAGTTTATTAAGTGGTAGTCTGATAAAGCATGTTATATACATGGTACAGTGTATACCTGCCAATTCTCATGCCTACATGTACATACCAATTCCTTGTACCTTGCTGAAAACTTTATGCTATATTTGGGAACTTAACTGATTCTTTCAAAGAAAAGTACAGTTCCCCGATTCTCTGATTTTCAAGAGAAAGTGCTGAGAATACTTTTTGTTAGTTACGTTTGATCATGTCTGGTGAAACACATCTTGGGCCTGGGACAAGGAAAAGTCTTCAGAAATCTTCAGAAGTCTTGGGATATGGTTGGGTAATACTCAAAATTATTATATGGCTGTGTCTCACAAGGACTGGGAACTACCGAATTCACAAATTTGATTGGCTGAAATCGATATTGAAAGTGGTCTAGATTTTCCCAT